GAGGCGCGTAACAGAAGCCTCGCCCCTTCTGCCTGGACCTAACCTCTCTCTGTATACTGATGGTGCAGCGGCTAAGCACCCAGCTGCTACTGAAAGGTCAGCGGGTAGTACCCACTAGCCATCCTGGGAGAGAGACGAGGCAATGGGTTTCTGTAAAGCTTACAGCCTTGGAAACCCTATGGGGACCGTCCTACTGTCCTTCATGGTTGCTTTAAGTCAGAATCGACTCCACAGCAATGGGCTATGTGTATCAATGAATAAAGTGATGAAGCATTTCATGACAAAACAGGTATTTTGCTACAGGTACTGCATTTAGCTACAGCCGAGTTAGCCAGTGCCCCTCTTCTGTCCCATTTCAAGCATCTCTCATGGCCCTTAGGCTACTGGGAACTTTCTGTTGGCAGGTCTCTTCTCCAGCCTCGAGCCCTGAGGGCAAGGACCACTTGTGTTCCGTTCTTCCTCCCTGGAGAGCAGCGCACGTTAGGTACCACGTAAGCCTGGAGAGCCGTGATTGCCCCGACACACGGTGTAGTCACGGAACCCCACTGCGTACTAACTGTGGCTTCTTAAGGTAAAAGTCAAGTCACCCAAACGTGCATTTTTTTTCTATGAGCAGGATTGAAAAAATACTGAAAGAGAACATCATGGACTGGAGGCCCCGGCGTCTGACTCGTTGGAACAGGTACTGCTCCTCCACGCTGCGCCAGTTCCTGCCGCTGCTGGAGAGCAGCCAAGGGGAAGATGTGCAAGACGCGCACCGGGCAGAGCTGCTCAGGCAGCTGGGGGACTGCCGGGTGAGTGCCAGCCCTCCTCCACAGAGCCCGGGCGTCGGGCCACAGGGGAACACGCACCCTCCAAGTACCGCCACTGCTCCTCCAAGTGGGTAAATTAAGCAGTGTAGACCAAAAATATTCTACCCCAAAATTTCAATCTCAGTAAGTAACTTAGCAGCAAATAGCAAAAGGCCTCTATAACATGAAAATACTTACTACTCAGCTTATGAAAAACTAGCTTTTATGAATACACTGCCAGGATGAAATGAAAGTACGTGGCTAAATGACGTTAGACTAAACTGTGGCAGAAGGGGAGGCCAAACTCTGGACTTGGGTTTTAAAGGCTACAGTTTGATACGATCACTTTTCATTGCTGAGACCCTCATGAGCAGAGAACGTAACGTTCCTGGGTAATGAGGCAGTCTTCCAACCACTTCAAGGCAGTAAACCTTGTTGGCTAAACCGTGTGAAGAGAAAACTGGATAGGTCGAAAGAATTCTATTCGCTGACTGAAGTTACCTTTAAGGGCAGGTTTTTAGCAGGATGTTTTAGTTCATGTAACAGAGACCTTAAGTCAAACAGGCTGGAGCGATAGAATTCACTGGCTTTAGTGCAGAGTCCGAGAGATGAAGGGATCAGGGCTGTACCACTTTCTGCAAGTGTCCCCACTCTGCCCTCGTCTCGGGGACGACGTCGTCCTCAGGCTGGCAGACGCTGCCAGCTCCAGGACTCTCATCTGCAGGGTGTCTAATGCCCCAGGCCTCCCAGCCAGAGGCTTGCCCGCCC